GGGGGGTTACATTTTTTAAAAATTTATCATGACGTGGATGACTGAGAATCTTCACCCGAACATAAAAATTAAACTAAATAAGCTTCTCAGAGGACTGACTGTAGTTCATAACATTTGTACCACTGTTTAATCAAGCAGATAATGAGCAATAAGACTTGAGGCTGTTGTAGGAGGAGGAGTGCGGGGGGAGCGGGGGGGGTCCTGAGCATAAATATTTATCCGCTGCAAACAGATCAATGGCGATTAAAAAGGTCAAGGGCAGATGATGATGGATGCTGGCTGTATGGCTGTATGTATTGATGAATTTTGACCATGGTAATGGATTACACTTGGAGACGGCAGAGCAAATGAGTGGGATTAATTCATTGATCGTGCTTAATCTGTCATCATTAATCCCACAAGAACACGTGTGGTGAGAGAAAGTCTCCATTAAACAGAGCAATGAATTATTCAGCCTGAGGGTGGGAGGCTGAGGTGGAGCCCAGACAAACGGGCTGAGGCTAATTACAGGGTTTTCTTGGAAACCGGTACAGGTTACTTACAGTTTGACTTGTTGTGGGCTCACACAACGAGGACTAATTACTGACTGATTAAATAAGTCATTTCATGACTTTAATGTTATCTAGGATCTTTATACTATAAATGTGTTTTGTAAATCCATTCTTTTTAAATTTTTTTTTTTTTTAGGAAAACCTGCTGTTTCTGATTTTTTTTTTTTAATCATTGGCAAATTAAAAACTAGTTTTGACTTGAATAAATAAACCGATGAAGTAAAGCTTCAGTCGCATATGCTTTTCTGAATAAATGCAGTGCTCTGTCTTACATGAGCGTAGGTTCTTTTATTGATTTTCCAACAGTTAGGCTGACATGTTGGATCAATTTCATATTAAAATAATCATCTTTCTTCTGATGAACAAGTTTATCACAAACCATGAATCTTATCCAATCTCTTCACTCTCCTAAATATTAGGAAACATTTGCGTAAGCTGTTATAGGAATTACATTAATTCAAACATTGGTTGATTTTATTTTGTAAAATTTATCATTTCAAAAGTGCTTCCTGCAACTCAAGCTTAGATTCCCCAGCTTTACAAATCAGCCTTTTCTGCCTTCATATGGGTCAAAGGAGAATAAAAAGAGGAAACTTGTGGCTGAAGTGATCAGAGCGGCAGGGCATGATAACTGGATAAATCCAACAGTAAAACTTCTATATACAAACTGTGAGGAGCCCCTCAACCAGCTGAGAGCAGGCAGAGAAGCTGCACAAACATCAAGTTTGTCCTCCACTTAGATTTCCTAAAGGCTTTTGAACCAAATACATATTTGTCAGTGGACATCGTATTGGAGTCCTCAAGAGTTTCTTGATGATCTTTCTTGCATAACTGTGTCAAATTCAGTCGGGGTTTATTCCAGGAGCAGTCTCCTTTCAGCCGAGGCATCATCTGTTAGAAGAATGTTTCTCTGCAGAGCGGACATGTGGACTTGTTGCTGGAAGTGAACCACTTGTACTGCACAAACAGAAAATAAGGGAATTGAAACAGCAGCTGTGTTTATTAATGTTTCGGCTCCCGTCATAAAACTTACCAAACAGGCAGAGTGGAACTTCTTCTTGCAGGTGCGGCAGGCCTTTTTGGGCAGGGAGTAGTTGGAGCCGTGAATAACGGAGAAGCAGATCATGCAGTCCTCTATTCCCTCGAATCGCTTATCAACATTGTTCTTCCACAGAGCCAAACCCTCCATTATGCTGCCATTCTGAGCACAAACAACACCCAGACACAACATCACTCCAAGTTGAAGAACGTATTCACTGCCATCAGAGCTTTAGTTTGTGTTTCTACCTGATGTGTGAGGTAGGTGCTCAGCTGCAGCATCCAGTTCCTCCACTGCTGCACGGCCACGCCCACACGCCGCCCGCTCTCCACAGTGATGGAGCCCAGAGGGTGGTTCTGTGCGAGCTGAATCACCAGCTCGATGTAGATGTCGTCCACAGAGTAGGTCGCTATCACCTCCCGCGCTGCTGAGCGAGCTTTCACCTGGAACCAGAAGGTAAAATAAACAGATTTTAATACAATGAGAGTTCATCCATTTATTTAACAGCATCTACTGGGGCTGCATCATTAAACTCCAAATGTGAGGCAGCTGTTGCACCAAAGCATTAAAATTAAACATTAAAATGTGTCATTACACTTATTGCACTTTTTAATCCTCACAGACTAGATAAATAAATTCAACAAGTTTTACTTCAACAGCTGCAACAAATACAGTTTAAAGCACGACATGTACACTCACCGGTCACTTCATTAGATATATTGGTTTAGTTTCTTGTTAACACAAACAGCTAATGAGCCAATCACACAGCAGCACCTCAGTGCCTTTAGGCACATGGACGAGGCGAAGACAACCTGCTGAAGTCCAAACAGAGCATCAGAATGAGGAAGAAAATCAACTGAAGTGACTCTGAATGTGGTGTGGTCGTTAGTGCCAGACGAGCTGGTCTGAGTGTTTCAGAAGCTGCTGATCTGCTGGGATTTTTACACACCAGCAACTCTTTAAACAGAATGGACCAAAGAAGAGAAAATATCCAGTGAGCTGCATTTATGTGGAGAAACAAGTCTAGTTAAGGTCAGAGGTCAGACTGGGTGGAGATGATGGAAAACAACAATAGCTCCAATAACCACTCATTACAAACAAAGGAACCATCTCTGGACATGTTCAGCCTGGAAGCAGTAAAATACAGTAGGGCTGGGCCATATCATAGCGTTCACGATAATACCGGTAAAAAAAGCTTGCCCAGGCAAATAAATGACATCATGATCTGCTAATTTCATGACGTAATATGTCAAGCGCCCCGCCCCGTTGACAGAACAGAGCGCGCCGAACGACCAAACCGAACTCTATCATTTACTTTATCATATCTTCGTGTCTTTCTCTTTCTACTTAAGACACTGGATGACAAAAAGCTCAACTTTTCAAACCTTCTCTTTAAAATCTGTTTTAATCGTCCAAAATCGCGTTTTTGGATGGTTAAAAGCAGCTAAGTTGAGAAGCTAAGCTATGAGCTAAGCTAACAGGCTGACCTTGGGAAAAAACCTCTGTCTTGTCAAACTCCAAAAAATTCACGGTTGAAACCCGTGCCTTCGTGTAAAAAGTAGCTTTTCTCTGCAAAAAGAAGTTGAGAACTTGTTCACTGATTTTTTTTATTAAAAGCTTTGTGTAACAAATGCTATGCTAAAGAGCTCAAACCACACAGAGCATCTGTCATTATGAGAACTGAATAAAGGAAGGGGAGACAGCCAATGTCACGAGGCTACAGTTCACTCACACTCACTGAAACTGAGGCTACAGTTCACATACACTCACTGAAACTGAGGCTACAGTTCACACAGACTCACTGAAACT